GTAAGTCTTCAGTCGAAGAAAACATTTTTTTTACATTGTGAAGTCATAAAAGATGAAATTATGCTGTGAAAATTCCGATTTGAATTTTGGAAGAAAAGGGATTGCATATAAAAAAGAAGAACCAACCTTACGGGGAAAACAAAAATCTTTCCACTAAATAGTACCTTATAATAGCTAAATAAGATTTTTTTATAGTAATATTCAAGTTGGTCTCATGCATTGGTTTGTATACGCACACACACATGCGCATACAAACACACACGCACAATCTTTTGAGTTACTAGATAGTATAGTGTAAAAGGAACAATGTAAGAGGAACTTTATGAGTGTATTAACAACTTGAAACAGCTAAAAAGAATAGGAAACTTTCATTTGATGCTATGAAAATTATTTTAGCTGTAATGGAAGTAAAAGATTAAAATGTTGGAACAGTTGAATTGATTCATTTTTTTGCTGTGCTATCATTTTATGTCCTGTTTGTCCAGATTTTTAATAGTACCGTTTGTCTTTCATCACCAGTTAGCCAATATTATGGAGACACCAGTTGTTTAACTGCCTGGAATGTAACTCTATAAAGTCACTACAAGCTACCTGTGTCTTTTTTCCCTTGATATTTTGTCGGTATATGGAAGTATTGCCAGAGCTATTATGGGATGTGTCTTAATTGCATAACGCATTATAACTGCATACATATGTCTAATTCATAAAACTGGATTTTAAAATCCTGTTCAGTCAGTAAAACATAGTGGTGTCTAGGTTTGCTGTCTGATTGTTGTAATTGCAAACTACTTTTAAGTATGCCCATCCCACGTACTTCACACACAAATCTGCTTTCCCAGTTGCTAGATATAAGCATGTAATAGATGCATACTAGCAACAATTGTGGAAGAAGTAGGTAGTTATGGAGTATAAACATTTTTTTTATTTATTTGCTTTTTGAATACTTCACTTCAAGACCTTTTTCCACACTTAGTCTTAGTGTGAGGCATTGCAACATTTCTGTTCTGGTTTATACAGTTGGAAAGTATGCTTACTAAAATCTTGTAATCTAAACTATTGAAAGCTTTGGGATGGGTAGTTACTGTAAATTTGTTAAATTTAAATTGTTAAGAGTGAAATTGAAATTTCACTGATCATGACATTGGTTGGGGATGATAAGCGATAGAACAATCTCCAGCTCATCCTTCAGCATAGGGAACCCTGAAACATTCCAGTAGAATGTCCTGAAAAACTATTTTTTTGTTTCAAACTCCACTCAAATTACTGTTTTTAAGGTTTCAAACAAAGACTGCAGAGTACTCAAGGCATCCAGGGCTGTGTTGAGAGTGGGTTTAAAAAAAGTTCAACTGAAGAATTGAAAGGATTTTTCTATGGGGTTTGACCTTAGACTTGAAAATGGAGATTGGAGACAATGGAAATGTTACTCATGTGAGGAAGTTGGCAGGGTGTCTGGATTGAACCAGATTGGCCTGACATGAAGATTTCCCTTGAGTTATGCTAGCAGGGTGGAGATTTGCAATCAAGCATTTTCAGGTACTTGCATTTCTCTGGGAAATTCTTTTCAGTCTGATTTATTAGAGGATGCACATACTCTCCCTTGGCTTAATCAACTATGAGAAAGATAACAATAACAATTACAGGCTCTTGTTCTTCAGGGTTGCACACGCTTCCTTTTTCCCCCAATATCTTAATTTCAATAAGACAAAAAAGAATTTTTTTGACCCAAGATGTAATTGGTAATGATAATGTGACAAATTCCAAAATATGCATGAATGGAAGATCAGCATAAACATCTAATCCAACCAGGGTCTGGCTGTAAATATGACAATCTAATACATGTGGGACAGCGGTATCATGTCTTTAGTGGTTATTTTTTTAATAATAATATGTGCATGGAAATGACAGTATAACATTGGTTAAGTCTGGATATAGGCTCATATTTTGATGACTTGATTATGGGTGAGAAAGCTGACCTGCCATGTATTACTGAAACCTGCTGTGCCCAAGTGAAGCAGTCCCCTCTCTAATTTGCGCCCAGCTGTGTTTCAGATGTGAGATTAGCCAGGACCACACAATAAGGGTCCCTGCAGATTGTATTCCATTAGTCGTAGGTGGTGCTCGTCTCCATTTCTAAGCCAATTAAACTAGCTCTGCCTAAAGATGTTTCTGCAATTGTGGTGCAGTCACACCACAGTGCAAAGCACGCGGCGAAACATGGAGCCCCGTTGCCTTCTCACTGAAGTGATACTTATTTATCTATTTGCATTTACATGCTTTAGAACTGCTAGGTTGGCAGGAGCAGAGGCAAATGACAGGAGCTCACTCCATCATGCAGGGATAAGGCTCAAAGTGCCAGAGTATAGACCAGGGGTGCTTAAATCTGGCCCATGGAGCCGGCCTGGAAATAGCAAGGGACCAGCCTATGGTGCCTCTGCTGGCCAAAACAGGGTGCGGGGTGCCCGCCTGCATCACCCCTCACCCCATTTTCAACCTGGATGGCCTCTTGCAGCACTCTGCCAGCCAAAATGGGGAATGGGGAGCTGCACATGGCTTCCCGTGCTCTGTTTTGGCTGGCAGAGTGCTGCAGGAGACTGTCCAGATCGAAAATGGGGCAAGGGGTACATACGCGCCCCCCCCCCACACACCTTGTTTTGGCTGGCAGGATCTGTCCTGTTTCCACCACCACCATCATCACCCAGCCGGCCCACAGAGAACTATAGTGCTGATTCAGCCCTCAAAGAAATCCAGTTCGACACCCCTTCTCCAGCATCTTTTAAGTCACTGAAATTGCTAGATGCAAGATCCTATTTGTTAAGTTGGACTCTGGGAATTAGTATGACTTTTGCTATGGTATGTACCCTTCTGCTGCATAGTATTCTCCCTATCTGAGCTCTTTGACTCTGTGGTTGGGTTGGCAATGGGATTTCCTAGGCTTATGGCTTGTATTGTTACTTGAGGGGCCATCTCTCCCCAATTATTTCTACCCATTCAATCCAATCAGGCAAGATAAGCATGCTTGGGGTCCCATTGGCTAAAGATTGTCAGTTGGCAGAGTCTAGATGTGCCTTTTCTGCTGTAGCACCAACCTTACGGAACATCTTCCTTCTGGAGTTGGCCCTGACCATGCAGATCTTTTGTAAGGCCTCGAAGACCTGGTTCTGGGACCAGTTTTTAGTTACACGAGTTATTTGGGCTGATCTTGATCAACTGCTTTGTATTTCAACTTTTGAAACATATACAGTTGTTTGTATTTTATTTTAATTTTGCTATCTGCTCAGAGTCAGTTGTTAAAATGAGCAGCCCTGAAGAAAGAGGTTGTAGTTTGGAAAACATTCAGTGTTTAGTACATCTGCAAAATATTAAAAGTTGAGTACTTTTCTTCTACATCACAAAAGTAGACAGACAGTTATAAAAGGAAACTATCAAGAGGATGAAGAATTATACCCTAACCAATTTAAAGATAATTAGGATAGTAAATATATTCATTTTACAAAGATTTTTGTAACCTATTATCCTTTTTGTTCTTTTTAGTAAATCTGGTTAATTAGACACAGGAGAATCTAGCTTGCTTATTATTCAATGTTACAACATACTGTATATTAGGTAAAAAGCTACACCATCAAAAAAATAACCCACGTAATAACTTAATATATGATCCTATCCAATGACTAGCCAAGAGCCTAACTAGCAACCTTCATGACCAAGTAGAGTGTTATATCTAGATTTCCTTAGTGTTATTGAAATATTCAATTTACAGGTAGTCCTAGACTTACAACCACAATTGACCCTAACTTTTCTGTGATTAAATGAAACATTTGTTAAGTAAGTTTTGCCTTATTTTTTTTTTTTACTTTTCTTGCCATAATTGTTAAGTGAAATACTAAATTGTTAAGTTAGTAACACAGTTTTCAAGGGAATCTGGCTTCCCCGTTGACTTCGCTTGTCAGAAGGTCACAGAAAATGATCACATGATGCCAGGACGCTGCAACCGTCATAAGCATGAGTCAGTTCCCAAGCATCTGAATTTTTGATGATGTGACCATGGGGTCCTAAGTGTGAAAAATGGTCATAAGTCACTTTTGTCAATCGCTAAATGAACTGTTGTAAGTTGAAGGCTACCTGTGCACATTATAGTGGCTATCACTGTTACAGACAATACTTTGTGTATAGATTATTGATCTACTTTGTTCCTACTATACATATTTTTGTATTTATTTTCTTTGGCTGAATTAAAACTTTATCAAATGATAATAGCGATATGTTGAAGTAATCGGTACAATTTCATTATTTGCCAATTATCCTTATATATCTCTATCCAACTGATAAGCTTGCACCAGTATTTTCCTTAATTGATTGATGGCTGTTAACAATCAAATGCAACAATAAAATACAGTAATGCCCTTATCAGAAAACAAAATAGACGAACAGATGCAACTGATGAAAACAGACACCTGATCAGCGTATCTGTTGGATAAAATAATCAAACAATCTTTTTGACGTGTGGATGAACAACCGTAACTCCTAGAGCAACGAGTAAACAAAACAATGGGGCGTATTTGTCTGTGGTGATAAGATATAACATGGATGACTACAAATGAGCAAGATTGCACACATAGCCCTCCAAATTAGCTATGATTTATGTCATCCATAGTTCATTCAGTGCACCCACTCACAGGAAGAGCCTGTGGCAGGGTTCGGCTCATCTGTCACTAAGCCAAATTATGCTTAGCAGTTCATGTGAGTGTAGTCAGTTAAGCGCAGCTATGCAGGTAAGGTTATATTTATCATACACAGCCTCTTCATTTAATTTGGCTGTCGGTATTAATGGTAATTGATATTTGCTTCCGTTGGTGAAACTGTTTGTTTTGCTTTGCTTTGCTTTTAATCTGATCGTTTCACTGTAGAGAAAATTTGTAAAAAAATAAACATTATTCCTTGGGTGTCCCCTTTCAATATTCTGTACATATATTTTCATTTTCAATTTTGATTTTTCTCCACAGGTGAAGGTGCTGCACAATCAACTTGTTCTGTTCCACAATGCCATTGCAGCCTATTTTTCAGGAAATCAAAAGCAGCTTGAACAGACCCTTAAACTATTCCATATCAAATTGAAAATACCTGGAGTGGATGCTCCTTCTTGGCTCGAAGATCAGTAATTGAACCACGCACAGAGATCCATTGTTTCAGCCCAGGATCTTCTATATCCTGGAAGAATCAAGAAGCTTTTCTATAAGAAGGACTGTTTGTAGTGATACTTGCACAAGCAGCTTTAATTCCTCCCCCTCTCCAATAATGAATACTATAATAATTTGGCAGGGTGGATGGGTGTAACCAAATTAATGTCATTTCAGAATCAAAATATTTTGTATTTAAGGGTGAATGGTTTTCTGTAGTAGGGAAGTATAGATTTGCACTGACATAAATATTTGTGATCTTTGGTAACCGTGGCAAGTAGAAGGTGAGAAATTTTCCAAAAGAGATGCTCATGATTTATATATGATATTTTATATAAATGTATTAAACCTCTACAGATTCTTTTTCATATAACTGTGTTCAAAAAGTATTTTTTTAAAAAAACATTAAGGCCTTTGAACAGCTTAATCCACAAAATCAGTGACTCACTGACAATGTGGATTTGCAAAAAATAGACCATTTTTACACCTAGATCTTTTTATTATATGATTAGAAAACACTAGAGGTTGAGTTTCCATTTTGAGCTGAATCCATTTTTTATCATTATAAAGGAACCACTTAAGAAAGGAGTCTTAGTTGTACTACTTCAACGTTTAACTTTCTATGAAATCATACCTTACTTGTCTTAAATTCAAAAGTGCCTTGTGAAACACGCTTTCTCCTCTTCTATACAAAATATAACATCTTTACAAAACCCTTTCTAGATTTATGGTTTTTTTTAAAGAGACTAAGGCCAGTCTAGTTTGTGTTCTTCTGTTTGACTCGCAGACCATGTCACTTGACAGGGACATAGTCTGTTTTCGAATCAGTAGCTATTGCAAGTACAAGTTTGTTACTTTATCATAGCTATTCAAAATTTATTGTTTTGGAGCATCATTGTTTGCACACTTTCTACTGCTTTTTCTGTTTATACAAATGAAGTACTTAAAATAACTTATCTCAGCTAAACGAATTGTATAATTATGTATTATATGTTGAAACCAATTAAGTTGCTTTTTAAATGGTTTTGTTTCAATCTTAAAGTAAAATGTTTATCAAGTATACCGTAAATCATTCCTCATTGCATTCTTGTCCATTATGGTGGTTTTTTTGCCAGGTTATTTCTTGAAGTAAAATTGGTTGCTGTTTCCCAGAGTATGGTTCATTATTAGCACTTATTCACACCAAGAGAAATTAGCACAATACATATATACCTAGAAGTAAAGTCTATCTAGGGCAGGGCTGTCAAACTCTCGGCCCACAGGCCAGATGTGTCACACGCTGCTCATGCCCGGTTTAGCGAATGGGGGAAAGTCACGAAACGTCACGTGATGATGCCGTGACAATGCGAGTTTGACACCTCCCCCCCAAATCTGGGGTCTTGCCTAAAACCAAAAAAAATACTTTGTAGTTTGTTTCTTGTAACTAGAGATTTAATGCTTTGATTTTTATTAACACTGAAGAATAAAGTATCTTTTATTGTTTCTGTGATCTTATTAACTATAATAAAAGAAGCAAACTTCACCTCACATTCTCCAAGTATAAAGCATCCTCGAACATTTCTATCAATGATTTCATCTCTATTCTGATGCAAACTTCCTGATTCTAACAGAAGTATTTAGTTGACCACACTTTTTAGCTAATGGGAAACATGTGACTATATCAAAGAGTGAGAGTTGATGAGATCCAGCTTGGTGTAAGCACAAAAAAGGTCATTCAAAGCTAATTAATTTTGCTTTTAATTTTTTTTTGTTTTTAAGGAAAACTAGTAAAAGCTTGTAACTTCATTATAGTGGCTACATATCTTAGAAAACTAGAATCAGAAAGATTTATAAGATTTTTTTAAATTTTGTTAGTAGCATCTGATTATATTATCTCACTTTAAAAAAAAAATCAGTTTGTCCTAAAGAGTTGCACAAATTGCTTAATTGGTAATGTAACATAAATAACCTCATAATTCATTGTTGCAAATAATCATCATCCTGAAAGAAGGCAAACCATTTCTAAATTTTCATGGAAAATAATTATGTGAACCTTTCTAATTAGCCTTCAGGAGCAAAGCTAATTCAAAGAAAGCTATATTTTATGAATTTCTATGCTAGTTTTGCATCTTTATCTAGACTCATTATACCAAATTAATACAGTTTTTTTAATTCCTGAAAAATTAGTCAGATCGTCAAGGTTCTGATTGGTCCAAATTGTTAAGAAAATATCGGTAATCATATTGCAGCGTCTTGAATATTTGATTTATATTCCAAGCAATTTAGGTCCTAGCTTTCAATTCTTGTATCACAGAAATAAAATGTTTGAGCCAAAATAATTATTTAGTAACTGCAGGCATTAAAATACATACTTTAATGCTATTGCTTATATGAAACATAATGGACATGTAGGAAAAAAATGTTTTTTCAAGATGTTTTGGAATAAGCTATTAACTTACTGCTGCTATTATGTAGAAAAGCAGAGTCTTAATCTCTGACAGTATACTTTCAAAAACAACCGACAACATTAAGGATTGGCTGAACTAAATTCCACATTATACACAAAACGAATTTAAACCTTCAATTGCCTGTACACCATGGCAGTAATGTTTTTGTTTTGTTATAATTGATATTAATGGTAGTTTGTTATTAATTCAAAGAAAATAAGCCTTCATGTATATTGGAAGATTTTTAGAGCGGGTTATTTTGGATGCTAAGATGTTTCAAATGGACAGAAAGATAATGACTAGCTAAACATGTATCTTCCACATTTTTAAATACAATAAAAACCCCAAGCAATAAATATTAAAAGGTTACTATGAATTTCTTTCTTGGTTTCTTTTTCTGAATTACATCTATAGCAATGTTAATGTATATGTACTGATAGTAATTGTTTTTATTTGCTTCTGATAATAGAGTCTGCAGTATTAAAAGAGAAACTGATTTCAATTACTTAAATTCAGATTTTTAAAAATTATGTCTGTTTCATGTGTCTTTGAATGCAGTGTTTGGTATTTCAATGTGTAGCTGAAATACAGTGAGATTTATTTAATTTTAGGATTTATCTCATGTAGTAGTGGTTCATCTAACAATAATTTTCTTTATAAAGAATTATAAGAAGTCACTGAGGACTAATTATTCATCCTCCATACATCTGAAATAGTAAAAACGTATTGCCTCATTATAACTAAAATAGAATCCCAGTGATGACATCTGGCTTCTGCAATCCCACATGGTTTGCCCATTGCCGTCACCATCTTGTTTGGAGATTATTGTATAACAATAACTTTTGCCTACATTTTACCAGCAAAAAAATATATAATTGTTATTTTAATTAACCTCAGTGGAAATTACTGTAATATCAAAACCTTGAGCCCACCTTAAACAACAGGCTGCCTGGTAACCCTGTCTGCCTCCTTTGGAGCTTCTTGCCCACTTGACTTTTTACAAAGATTCTTTTTGATTAAAAATAAGGAATATTGCAAAACAAAATACAAGCCACAAAACAATATAGGTGAGATAGTGTTTAACGACAGTTTAATGAAGTTACAAGTAAAATTATAAATGAAAGGAAAAATAGGAAGTGAATCAGCACAGTAATAAAGAAACACAGTTGAACTGGATAAATTGAGAATGGGTTTATCAAATGCTTTTCATCTTTTAAGATTCACTGTTAACTTTAAATTTGAACAGAGTGGCTCCATGCTGTACTTAGTTGCAAGGGGCCAAGGGTGGAAGGAGGGTATATCTCTGCCTCTTTCTTGCAAATAGCCCAGCAGTACTTGGCCCACCTTAATGAGAAATCAAGTGTTAAAACTATGATGGGCCTTGGCCTGGATCCAGCAAGAGGATTCTTCTTCTATCCAGGGGAAAAAATTAAAAAATTAATCTCTGTATCAGTGATGGTGAATGGTTTTCTGCTCGGGTGCCAAAAGAGTGAGCATGCACATGATAGTGCACATGTGCGTGTTCACACCCATAATGCAATGTCTTCCCCCTGCACATGCATGCACAACCCCCTGTGCTCCCCTTGCGCATGCACACAGGCCTCACTGAAGTCTCTGGACTTCCAGTAGGCCTGTTGGGCCTCTTTCACCATTCACAGGCTCTGGAGCCTGGGGAGGGTGAAAATGGCCTCCCCCTGTCCTCCGGAAGGCTGAAAATCAGCTGCCCAGAGCACGCATGCAGGCTGGAGCTGACAAGAGGGCAACGCCTCGCGTGCTCTCAGATATGGCTCGCCATCAGGGCTCTATATCCTCATGTTCAATTGTACAAATTTCCCAGTAATAATTCTGAGTTTAAGTCATTATGTTTATACTGGTGATACAATAACATTGATATAAACATTATAGTCCCTTTAAATCAAAACCATCAGGATGGTTACTGATGGTCTTCAGAGAAGTTTTATAGCATCTTTGAGGATATGGTTTGTTTCAGTGCTCTGATTGGAATACACATGTAGACTTTTAGATCAGAAGTAAAATATATATCAAGAAATTTGAAGATAAAATTTTCAGAAGCCACTTCGTATCAGCCAGAACATAGAACAACCAAACCTCAGGATCCCACAGTTCATCTTGAACTATCTCCTCCTCTGAAATAGCGCAAGGAGTCCTACATATCTAACAAAATGTTGATCTTTCTCATTTTGTTTTCAATAGATGCAGTGAAGTGGGTTTCAGCTTTCCCTGTAGCCTTCTCTGACCTCCCGGATACTCTCGAGATTTGTCAACAACAGTTAAACATTTGTGATTTGTGGAGCTCAGCCATTTAGTCTTTTTAACACACTCTTAACATTATTAAACAGGTACACATCCCACATGTAAGCCCAGGGCATGAACTCAAAGTAAATATTCTCCAAATTAAATTTTTGGTTTAATGTGTTCTTTTCATTAAGAAAAGCAAGAAGAAAAACTGTCAGCTCCTGATGGCCCCGTGGACAAATCTATACAGTTCTCTTGAGTTTAGAAGTAATTTGACTTCTTCCAGTAAATTTTTCAGCTTCACACACTAAGCCCCAAACATCTCTGGGGAAAAAGATACCTACAGGAGGAGTCAAAAATTAGGACTTCAGGGGGCAACCACATCAGGGGTGGTATTCAGCAGATTCTGACCAGTTCTGGAGAACCGGTAGTGAAAATTTTGAGTAGTTCGGAGAACTGGTAAATACCACCTCTGACTGCCCCTGCCCCCATCTATTCTTTGCCTCCCAAGTCCCAGCTGATCGGGAGGGAATGGGGATTTTGCAGTATCCTTTCCCCCTGCCACACCCACCAAGCCACAGTAGTAATCCCACCACTGAACCACATGATTGAAGTTCCATTCCCTTTTCTTAAAAGTATTGCATGCACATAAAAGGAAGCTTATACCAATATAAGATATTGGGGTGCAACTTTACTGTATTTTAATAGAATAGAAATTAAAAGATAATATATGGTTTTGCCATTATTGCTATAATACAGGGGTGCTTCAGGCTTCACTTAACTATTGCATTGCTCTTGGGAACCTCTGAATTCTTATGAAGCTGCACGGACAAAAGATTTTGTAATTTGCAATGAGGGCAGATATAAGCTCTTCTTGCCAGTGGACTGTAAGTGCGCTAATCTTTTATCCACCATGTACTAGAACTTTCATAGATACAATACTTATGTATTATACTTTATGTGAAACAGATTGGTAGGGACATAAAAGAATGATGCATCACCTGGTTTGAATCACAGGGCTGATTAGAGGAATTAGAATTAAACTTAGTGGGAAATGGTAACTATTACATTTATAGGCCACCCATCTCACTATCAAGCAACTCTGTACCTGAAGTCCAACATTTGAAAATCTGTAAAGATTCCCCTTGCACATATGTGCTAGTCATTCCCGACTGTAGGGGCGGTACTCATCTCCCTTTCAAAGCCAAAGAGCCAGCATTGTCCAAAGACATCTCTGCGGTCATGTGGCCGACATGACTAAACGTCGACGGCACACAGAATGCTTTTACTTTTCCACCAAAGTGGTCCCTATTTTTGCTGATGAATAACAACAATAAAAGATACAAAAACAGCAGCTACAAACATCTACCTTCTTACTATGTTTGCTTTTGAACTGATGTGTACAGGACTCCCTTTCCCTAAAAGTTATACAAAGAAACTTTTTCATAGTATTCTTAATTTCTCACAAGATTCAGCTGATTCCAAGTTTTAGTCTTTCTGACACAAGTTCTACCTTTTCTGGAACCTGCCTTGCACTTTGGTTATGTGCTGCTTATTGCATTTCCTATGTATACGTATTCCTCCCCCCCCCTTTTCATTATTTAATAGAACTCTGCTTATATATTCTTTTTAGACTTCTCCCATCTGGCCAAAATGTAGTTCCAGCAACAATGCAAGACTGTGATAGAGGAGAAACAGGAGATTGGCAAATATCTTTTCGAAGAGCCCCAGAGGCTGGAAGGCTGGGAACTAGACTTAGAATATGAAGAGCAGTGTCCCAAATATGTTGCCTGAGGATCC